TTGAGAGGGAGAGTTTAAAAGGTCACTAATGCCGAGATGGAATTATGAAAACAATTTTGATCTTGTAGACCCTGTGAAAGGGTCTTAGGGACCCTGGACCACGTTTTGAGGATCACTGCATTTTAACATTTTAGAAATATGTATGACTGCTAAAAAAAAAAAAAAAATCTCTTCCCAATTTTCTGGTTTCTCTGTGTACAAAGTAACCATCGATCACAAAATTAACTGTTTATGTGTTGGTAGAACTTAACAGGAAAGGGGAAAGAAAGCTGGTATATAAGCAAAGGACCCTGAAGGGTTTTGGTTTTGTTGTCGAACAGCAGTGATCCCTTTAGTGTCCTCCAACTCATTTACCTCAAGCATTCTCAGTTGGCCAGGCTTACTTTACAAGCCACCTCTCAAGTGAGAAACACCACCCCCCCACCAGATTTCAGTAGCATAGATTAAAAAAAAAATGTTAGAGATGAAGAAGGGATTGTATCTACCACCCCTCTCCTGTTTCTCCAGCTGGGAGGGTAAGGAAAGGGAAATAAAATTTAACGAGCACTTTTACTATGTGCCAGGTGTTTTACGTATGTTATTTCATTTAAATTCCCAAAACAACCCAAGATGGTATTTCTAGCCCCATTTTGCAAATAGAGCAAGACTCAGAGAGGTTAAATAACATGTCCAGAGCACTCAGCATTTAAGTGACAGAGTCTGATCCCAATCAAAGTGTCTCTATTACTAAAGCCCATACAGCACTGTGCCTTGGTTTGTGCTTTGTTTTTCTTCACTTTCTGCAGGTTGAGAATGTGAATACTAACGTTTTTTGGGGGCTCCCTGATAAAAACATGGTGATGATAAAACAATTTGCCCTGGGAGGTTTGCTTTTATGGGATTAACTATCTTTGACAGATTGTATTTTGTAAAGTCAAATAAATACTTTTATAAGAAAAGGTTTATGTAAGTTTTTTGGTTTTAGTTCTTTGAAAATTAATTGCCCGTGTTTTACTACAGGGTATAGAATTGCCTGCCCCTTTCTTTGTCCTTAGATCTGTCATATAGAACAGTTAGCTATCCCAGAAAGAGAGTTTTTATTTGCTACTCAGTTTGTCATCAAGGTTTGTCAGAACTCCAGAAAGGCAAAGTCCATTCTTAGGAATATTATTTTGTTGCAGGTCACACACTCCCTAAGAGGTAAGATCAGCTTGGGTAGGAGGGAATAAGGGGTGGAGGAAGGATGGCTTATGTAGCTCTCTAGGGATTGCTGAGGGAGTATTCTTAGTTCTCTTGTGGGTGCTCTGGTATGATATAGGACCAACTAACTTAGAGTGTGTTGGAATTTTAAAGGTTTCTCAAATTGGAGATGCCAAAATACATGAGTACACGATCCTGAAGTGAGGTTTGATGGAATTCTTACAAACTGACTCAGTATTGCAGTCTTAAAAAGTACTTATACCAGCTGTCGCGCGTGCGTGCGTGCGTGCGTGCGTGTGTGTGTGTGTGAGATTTTCCTGTATTTAAAAGTAAAGCCATTCCCCTTAGTGACATCAACCATCTCAACCTAAAAGTAAGGGGTGGGGGACCCCCTCCCCAAACAAATAAGCCTCAGAGTATTTAATAGCTGTCACAAAGCTGGTCACATTAGAGGTGCAGCTGACCCGAGGGCAAATAATTTTCTTTGAAAAGGCTAGCAGTATAGGAGAGGAGTCCTTGTGATAGCTGATAGTGGAGAAAAGTAACAAAAAGCCCGCTGAAAAAATGCTGCCACCTGCAGTCGGCTGTTACAAAGAATGTTGCCCCACTCACTTGGTAGCACCAATAGTCAGCTGATTAGGGTGGCAGGATAGAAGTTAGAACATTTAGAAATATTTCTAAGAAAAATGTTTGGAATTTTTAAAGGAGTTGGGGGTACTTGAAAGATAATCTAGACGGGGCGCCTGGGTGGCGCAGTCGGTTAAGCGTCCGACTTCAGCCAGGTCACGATCTCGCGGTCCGTGAGTTCGAGCCCCGCGTCGGGCTCTGGGCTGATGGCTCAGAGCCTGGAGCCTGTTTCTGATTCTGTGTCTCCCTCTCTCTCTGCCCCTTCCCCGTTCATGCTCTCTCTCTGTCCCAAAAAAATAAATAAACGTTAAAAAAAAAATTAAAAAAAAAAAAAAAGAAAGATTATCTAGAATTGCTTAGAAAATGAACATTATTAAACACCTTAATCTTTGATGATATCAGATTAATGAAGTGTTACTCTGTAAGACATATGTATGTTTATGTGCGCTTTCATATATCTCTTGAATTAGATTGTTTTGGAGGCCACAATATTATATGGTTTGCTTTTTAAAAGACTTTGTGAGAATAGTAAATATTTGTTGTAATGAAATTGAATAATAGATGAGTTTTTCCTTCGGCATAATTTAATGATCGCAGCATTCATTCAATACACTTTACTTCCTTCTGACTTGTGCAGCTTTTTGCAAAAAATTGTTTGAGGGGTTCATCACTTTTCTTAATAAGGGCCTCTTCTTTGGTAGTTAAATCATTGTTTTTTGAAGTACCTGTTATGTTATACCCTTACAGATTAAGTAGTGACTAGTCCAACTCTTAGATCCTCAATTATCTTGACTTTTCCTATGATTGGAAAAGTTGTCCAATATCACTGTCATGGAGAGACAAAGATGTTGACTTGATGGACAAGGAGAGCTATGGTGCTGTGAAGCTGAGAGAGATCAATTTTATAAATGGTCAGTTTATGGTAACTATTTTCCCATAGTGATAACCGGTTTCTTTGTATACAACATGTCTGTGAAGGTAGAAAACATTGAGATCTCTTGCACTGAACATACAGAATATACTTCAGGACTTTCAGAATTGTCTCTTATCCATTGGGTTTTTTTCTATCTTAATCTGTGCCTGTCTTGTGGATTTTTAATTACTGTAGGCTTATCGTGCATCTGGTATATAGTAAGGTAAGTTTGTCCTTACTATTCTTCACTTTTGAAGTTCTCTGGGTGTTTACTTTTTCTGTGACTTTTTCCTCATGGGAAAATACATTAAATTAAAAAAAAAAAATAGAAGTATATCTACTATGTATCTTTTCTTTAATTGTATTTTTCAAAAAAAAACTTCTTGACCAAAAGAGGTAAAGGAGACTGGAATATTCATTCTGAAACAGGGATAATATAATCTCTTTGTAAGAAAAACGAAGATTATCATATTACAGTTCTCTAAATTTCTTACCATGAAATTTAGTAGTAACTTGTTTTTTTTAGGGATTGCTCTTTTTAAATTAACTTGGTAAAACTTATTACCACACTTTTCTCTTTCCTTCTATGTTACTAAATATGAATTATTAGGATGAAATTATATTACTCTGAAAGATTTCTTCTAAACTGAATAGTGAGTAGTGTTTCTTCCAGCTCTCTGGCCTGATGATCATCCCTTGGGGGAGACAGTAAGTAGGGTTCAAGTGCCCCATATGTGAATTCTAGGCATTATCTAGTTGTCATTCTCATGTTATATGTCTGTCATCCCTCTCAGATTTCCCAAATGGTAAAGATCTTTCTTTTTGGGCATGAAGACCGTGTCCTGCTTGATGAGTTTTATTCAAGTAGCATAGATAGTGGAAGGCTGAAAGAAAGTCAAAACCTTCATTCTGGATCTTATGTTTCTGTCAAGTACTCAAAATCTTGAGGTAAATTGGTGTCCTGAAAGTTCCCAAAATTATCTCCTTAAGGTTTAGCCCTTACCTCTGAATGTGGTTGTGAGAGAAGGAAGGTGGAACTGAATGGATGTGCCAAAAAGAAATTTGGGGTTAACTTTCCACATACTGATATTTCCACATATGGATAGTGAGAGGAGGTTTTGTCCCCTGGCCAAATAGGCCAGGACCGACTGATGTCAGTGTGGTGGGAGGCAGTTTTCAGTTGGCTGTATGGTTTTCCTAGAGCAATCCAAGGGGGAGTCGTGTGTGTGTGGGGTGAGCGTCTCCTCTCTGGACCATTGTAAGCAGCCACCAAATGACCTCTCGGTCAGGGAGGGTGTGAAGGATTTGTGTGTAGTTCTAAGTTTAAGCTGTAAAGACCTTTCCCCTTGGTGATTCTGTGTGCCTGTGTGTTTGTGTATGTAAGCATGTTTAATAACCTTACTTCTGTACCAGCTCATTGTGAGCTACTTAGACTGCGGTATATATGAGATTTGGTGGGCTTTGAAGATCTACCAATAGGCATTGCTCATAGACATTGCTGTATTGGGGCATATGTTAGGCACGGATTATTAAATTAAAAAAATTATCTGATCACAGTCACCTGGGTGGCTCAGGCGGTTAAGCTTCCGACTTCGGCTCAGGTCATGATCTCATAGTTTGTGAGTTCAAGCCCTGCCCTGCATCAGGCTTTGCACTGCTGGTGTGGAGCCTGTCTGGGATTCTCTCTCCTTCTCTCTGCCCCTCCCGCACTCTCTCTCTTTCTCTCAAGATAAATAAACTTAAAAAAAACCTTAAGGAAAATTTATCTGATCAGTGTCTGTGAACGACCTGCCCCAGAGTTGCATTGTTGGTTAGAAGATGTTAGTGGCTGCCTAGAATAAAGTAGGGAAGGGAAGAATTTGTTGAGCACAAAGCCAAGCTGGCCTTGTTTTGTTTTTTTGTGTCTTTAAAGGAAGAAAACCACTGATCTGGGGATTTGTGTCAGGTATACCACAGGTTCAGAGATGAGTGATTATCGCTTGTTAGTGAGATCTAACAACTTCCTATAGGTGTGATGGTGGTATACTGCAATACATATTTTCATATAGATGTGTAAAATACTTTAGCATGTCTGTCAAGTACCATTGCTTTTTTCCCTATAAAGTGTGAAGAACAGGAGGCGGGAGGATGTTTGCGTGGTCTGAATGTTTTTACTTGAAAATAAAAACTGTCAATATTTTTTTCTCGCTGCCGTCAAGTACTGCCCATTGCAAAGAATTAGAAATACTTCATAGCATCTGAATGCAGCAGCTAACCTCTCTCCTCCCTTTCTATCACATAGGTTTCCACTTGAGTGGCACAGTGACAGAACCTGCAATACAATCGGAGCCAGAAACTGTTTGCAACGTGGCCATCAGCTTTGATCGTTGCAAGATTACCTCAGTGACCTGCAGCTGTGGAAACAAGGACATATTTTATTGTGCTCATGTTGTGGCACTGTCTTTATACCGCATCCGCAAGCCAGATCAGGTCAAACTGCATCTTCCCATTTCAGAGACTCTCTTTCAAATGAATAGAGACCAACTACAAAAGTTTGTACAGTATTTGATCACAGTGCACCACACAGAAGTTTTGCCAACTGCTCAGAAATTAGCAGATGAAATTCTTTCCCAGAATTCAGAAATCAACCAAGTTCATGGTGAGTATAGACATTCATTCTGTAAGATGTCTTTTTTGTATTCTTTTTCATTTATAAATTCCTTTCTTCTGCATAAAAATGAATTAAATGTGAATTTAGGTCTTCAGCATTGTTCTTAGTAGCCAAGAGAGATTTAAAAAATTTTTTATTATTGGGGCGCCTGGGTGGCGCAGTCGGTTAAGCGTCCGACTTCAGCCAGGTCACGATCTCGCGGTCCGTGAGTTCGAGCCCCGCGTCAGGCTCTGGGCTGATGGCTCAGAGCCTGGAGCCTGTTTCCGATTCTGTGTCTCCCTCTCTCTCTGCCCCTCCCCCGTTCATGCTCTGTCTCTCTCTGTCCCCAAAATAAATAAATGTTGAAAAAAAAAATTAAAAAAAAAATTTTTATTATTAAAGTATTGTTGACAGAGGTTTTTAAGTTTAGTTTTGTATCCTGAAACATTTGTTTCAAGTGTTTTGTGCATTCTACTAGATAGCAAACCTTTTGTGCCCAGAAAAATTTCTCAGTTGTTAAAGGTTGACTCCTATGCTTTTACATTTGGTAAAATTTCATCAAATGTTAGATATTGGTTGTGGAAAACACAAGACTTATTTAATTCACCTTTGTCAGCTTTTATCAGTAAATTAACTTGGACGTACTCTGAATTTTCTTCCCCCATTTTCTTTTAAAATATATTTTCCAAGAAAGGACATTTCTGACAGGATGCCTCATATTAAGAAAATTAAATTATTCTTAGAAAAATATTACAACTGGGCTGCCTGGGTGGCTCAGTCGGTTGAGCAGCTCAGGCCATGATGTTGCAGTTCATGGGTTTGAGCCCCGCATCAGGCTCACTACTGCTGTCAGCGCAGAGCCTGCTTTGGATCCTCTGTCGTTGCCGCCCCCCCCCCCGCCGACCCTCTCCTACTTGCGCTCTTTAAAAAATAAACAAATATGTTAAAAAAAACATATTATAACTTGTTCAGAGAGAATTTAGGATATGATTATCACTGTGTAAGAAATCTCAAAAATGGTTTCTTATAAACACATTTATCAGGTGTTTATTTTGTGATTGCAGATATGTTGACTTACAAGAATGTATGTGTAACCTGTCAGAAATACACCCACAACCTATTTCATGGAGTACATTAAAACAGGATAAATAATATGGCTAAGTTATAGGTTGTTATGCTTTAAAAACGTTTAGATGTAATTTTAAAAATATTTAAAAATATATTGAGGAATGTAACACAGTCTTGACTAGGCAACTCTGGGGCCTAACATTTTTGCATTTCTTTAGTTATATTGATTTGAGATACAGGACTCAATCTATTCTTTTAGGTTTCTAAAAAGTCCTTAATTGCTATAGTGAATGTAAATATTTAAGGAAAGGAAGTTTAATATTTATTTCTTGAAAACTTTTAAAATTGTGAGGTAAAACATGTAGGAAAGTGCATAAAATATGAATATGTAGTTTTAATAAAGTGAACCAACAACACAGGTCCCAGAAATAGACTGCTGTCAGCACTTGAGAGGGTTCCATGTGTCCCCTTTCTGTCACAAGCTCCTTTCTCTTCCCCATGGTAACTAACCACTGCCTGGTTTTTATGGTAATCACACCTTGGTGGTTTGTGTTTTGTTGTTGACATCATTAAACACTAGTTGAGTTTTATCTGACTTCTTTCATTGGAATCATGTTTGTAAGATTAATGCATACTGTTTCATGTACCTGTAGTTCATTCATTTTCATTGCTCTCGAGCAGCACTGTCCAAGAGAAATACAATGTGAGCCACTTGTATGGTTTAAAATATTGTAGTAGCCTATTTAAAAAGAAACAAGTAAAATTAATTTTAAAAGTGATTAATCTCAATATTCATAAATATCAAGTCAACAAAAAGCTGATACATTTTACCCTTTTTTTCGTATTTCAGTCTTTGAAATCTGGTGTCTGTTTTATACTTACGGCATACCTTAAACCCCCCATAGTCACAGTGCTGCAAGTGCTTAATAGCCACGTGTGGCTAGTGGTTACCTTATTTACTGGACAGCACAACTCTAGTCTAGCTCTGAGAACATCACCGTTTGTCCATTCCACTGTTGATCGATCTTGTTTTGAATAGAGCTGCTGTGAACATTGTTTTACAAGTCCCCTAGTGCTATAAGATACTTTGAAAATGGTTTTTATGTCAGAGGGACACCCCCATAGCCATACTTCTTCTAGTACTCTCCATATTAGGCTCAGTTTTATTAGAGTGGTATCACAAGGTGTGTAAAGCATTTTACTTGGTAGAGCCTGCCTTTGTTAAATACAATATTGTAAACAACTGTGGCACTGAAGTACCTTTGACGCACCAAAAGACATGCACTCAAGGACTTGTTCAGGTAGGCTTCTTCTTTGTCATACTACCTCCCTCAATCTTACTGCTTTGTGAAAATTCAGGCTAGCTAACAATCATCTCAGATTTCTCAGGAGCCTATCCATGGCTTTTTTATTAAATTGTTCCGTGGAGGCAGAAGAATAGGATATACCATTTCTTCAAACTTGTATGTGTTCTTCAAATTTTTATTTCCTCCCCCCGCCCCCCGAATTTATATAATCCATTAGGGTTACTTTGTTCTCTGAGTTTTAGTTTAACCATAGGTCCACATCAACAATCATTTGTTCTGCATGGGTCTTCCTTGTTTTGAAGAATAGCAGCCCCCAAAGTTTCTTGTCTAAAAGCTTTGAAAATTCATTTTTATGTTCAAATAGTAAGACTAATGAATTAATGTAATGCAGAGCTGGGTGCAAGAAAGTGTTCCTATGATATTTATATTTCTTTCAGAATTTCTAAAATAAGAAGAAAAAGTTTTCCAAGGAAATAGCAAGGGCAGAATGCAGATTAGCTTTAGGCTTAGTGTGATTTTCAAATAACTTGTATGAGAACAGCTTAACTAGAGCAGTGAACTTGAGCAGTTTATCCCACCAGTTTCTTCTTCACTTAATTTATCATCAGATTTGCTCCCAGCCTGGAAATGGGCCAGTTACATGAGCTGCCTTCTTGCCTTCTGTCCTTGTATGATACATGGTAAAGAGAAGACAGGTAGGAAGCAGGCCATGACTTAAAGTGACAAAAGGGGAACCCTGGAGAGTGTTATTTTAACTGTTAGATCGATGCCTTATTAGAGAGTGGGATTAAAAATATTTTGCAGTTATTTGACCACATGATTTCACCTGCCTCCAAACATCTGTACATAAAGCATTCTCCAAACCATTAAAGCAGTGCTTTTTTGTATGGTCTTTTGGGTGTAGTTTTTCTTTGAGTAGAAAGATGTCTTAAACACAAATATTGATAGAGTTAATTTTTCTTTAAGGAAAAGCATCACTTTTACTTGGCCAGATAATAGAGTTGGGATACGATTTAGTTTCAGTTATCTTAATAGGTATCTTAAAGACAAGTTTGGCTTCCAAATCCTTTTTAGAAGAAAGTCATAATTTAAGGAAATACAAACTATGTTGGTAACAGGTTATTCATTTTTCTTAAGAACTTATTTATCCTAATGTTGCTTAAAATTCTATTAGTTGCTTTTCCTTATTATAGTTGACCCTTGAACAACATGGATTTGAACTGCACAGATCCACTTATACCTGTATTTTTCCTGTAAATATATGTATAGCACTATAAGTGTATTTTCTATTACAATTTTCTTAACATTTTGTTCTCTGGCATATTTATGGTAAGGATACAGTATATAATACACATATAAAATACATGTTGATCGACTTTACCTTATTGGTAAGGCTTCTGAAAGTCAGTGGTAGGCTATTAGTAGTTACCTTTTTGTGTAGTCAGACGTTATACATGGATTTTCCACTGTTTGGGGGGTTGACCCCCCAACCCTTGCATTGTTCAAGGGTCACTGTATTTTGGAATATTTTCTTTCTGCAAGAATTTTATCCTGAGGAGTTAAAAGCTTTCTCAAGATGATTTCAGGCATATTATTCCTAACAATTTGCTTTTTAACTTGATATTGCATATTTATAATTGCAGTAGTTTCTAGATGAAGAAACTGAAGAGAATGTGTTAGTATATCCAAGCTCACAGACTGAGCAAAGGTACTTGGAATATAGACTTAGTTATTGTAATAGTTCATTCCTTGTCAGATTTTTTTTCATTTCTTTGTGTTTTCATAACATTCCCCCCCCACACATAATTTTGATTAGATTATAAAACTAACTACTGTATGCTAAATAGTGGCTGTAAGATAGTGATGTTAATGGCCCTCCAAGGAGATTTCCCATATTATACTGCATTTTTTTTTCAGCAAAATTGTTTGCTTTCAGTTTTATATTCTAATAAAACTTTCCAGCTTCCACATTCTTAAAAAAGATGCTGGTGTCTTCGCTAAGTACTTTTTTAAATTTACTGATTTCCAAGTGCTAGTCCTCTCTCTTACTTAACTCAGCCTTTTTGGTCCTTTACGTTTTGTATTAAAGGAGGTGTATTACATAGATTGGTAAATCGTGGTGTAGAGACAGAACATCAGACTTAAAATCTGAAGGCTTAGAGTCCAGTATTGTCTCTATTATGTATGCATTACTTGAGTAACCTTGGGTGAAGCTCATTTTTTCCTCATTTACAGTGGTCATGCTTTTCTCTAACAGCATTGGAAGAATTTTAATAAGGAATACACGTATAATAATAATAATAGAAATATTACTGAGTTTACCTCATGTTTAGTGTATCCAGAAGTTCTCACAGAAGAGGGTAGAAACCAGTTGGGAGGGGGGGTGAATGATATCACAGTTGGAGGTCATCTTACTTTACTCTGACTTTCTGTCATGTATTTCTTCTCCTTCTACTTTCTCACTTGTGCACTTTGTCCTCCCCCCCCCCCCCTTCCTATGAGCTAGCCTGTAGTGGGCACACTACAGCAAAAAGAGGGATAGACTAAGCGGAAGCTGGTATTGGTCTTGGCTGGGAGCAGAGTGTGTATGTGTGTGTGGGGGGTCATTTCAGTGGCCCTTTCACTCCTAGAGCC